AATGCACCAACAGCAGCAAGCGCTCACTCAACATTGAATTCGCTGGATGCGTCTTTTGACTCGGGGGGGACTACTCGGAATCGAGTCGAGTTAGTAATGTCAGTGTCGAATACACTGTAAGATATCCGATTAATCGTGATGCTCGCGAGGTCGACAATAGAAAATGATATAAATTTACAGAAAACAATACGAACTAATAGAAATTCTATTTTTCTCAATCATTCTCTATCGAATTTGTTTCATCAGGATTGACTGTTGGTGTGGTAGTGACAGATTTCCTAACCTAAGTAACTGAACTGTAACGATATTAATATCTCAAATCGCAAGGCAGAAATGTAGATTTTTTTCAAAGAATTCGCAAGATTCGGTTGTGTCGTACAAAAGTACATCTAATGAGCCTAATTTTTGTTAAATTTTTTGAAGGTGAAATAGAGTTCAACTAAAAGTTATTTTGCTGTGTGTATGTACGACACTTGCACTTAACCGATCTACACAATTCTATATCAGTTCTCGCTCCAATTTAATATTTCTTTTTCGTACGACACTGTCGACGAGATCGACTCGTAATATGTTGTCAAGAAAGAATAAGGATTTGAGAACGATCAAGGAGGGAGTAATTGGCAGATATGTGAAGAAAGAAACGCCACCCGAGATACCAAGTATGTACTTCAAGAATCTGTTTTCCTATTTCTTCTTTTTTTTTTCTCTCTATGTATTCCTTGGTTGCATTCATGTTTGCTACTTGATTTGTTTTTTTTTACAACTGCACTATTATGTTTCTATTGAAAATAACAATAGATGCATTATTAGATGCAGGACAAAAATGCAGGAAAGTTTTTTAGTATAATATACAGCATATAGTGACAAAGGAATAGCTTACATAAATATTTGATTTTCGCAAAAGTATTCCTCAATATTCTTGTCGTTTCTTGTTTAAGTTGTAAAACAATGTGTAAACATTTGATATCGTAACGTATCAATCATAAACATATGATTTTATATAAAGATCGACAAAACAGTAAATATATTACTACAAGGGATAATACAAAATTATTGAGTATAAAAGGAGTTTTAAGTTTGGATTAAATTAAGAAAGATGTTTCTCTTTATGTGTTGCACACTTTTGTCATTAATTATCACTTATTATTATCTTGTAGGTACTTAATTGTAATTGGAAATATAAACAGTTTTTCATTTTCATATACATCTTTTTAGCATACATTATATTTGATATTTGTAATAAAATTAATACAAAATATGTATTTGAATTTGATGAAATATATTTAATTAGACCTACTTCCTTTTTTTTTTTTTTTGAGATAAAATCTTTCACTCTTCCATTCTTTATATATCATCTATCTAACACTATACTTTGCAATGGAAATATCAATTATATAACTCTACTTGTATTTAGTTATCAACGTGTGGACAACAGAGCCAAACAAAAAACTGAGACGGCATAACAATCATCCAGTGATGCCAAATTCTACGGTAAAAAATATATTGTACATAAATGTATCACATATTACGTTACATTATGTAATGTTTTCTAATATAAGTCCATTAAAAAAATAAAAATAAAATTGAAAGTTTACTTATTTCAGTAAATAAGTATTGTTGAGATTTACCACAGTATTAAATTATATAGATAATACTATTTTTTATTATTTCTAAAAGTATTTTTTCGAAGGGTTGGTCACTGAGATAATTTTTGTACAAGGGTTAGGTATTCAGTAGAAATCTAAACAAAATTTTGGATAATCCAAGATAATTTTAGATAAATCTAACAATAAGTAGTATAGAATTGTAGAATATTTATTTTCTGCAGCATATATACAACATCAGGAAGGAAGATTTAATTTAATAAATATTTGTTTTGTAAAATTGCGTTTTTTCTCTTAAACTGTGAAAATCTAAATTCGATATTCTGAAAGATGCTTATCATAGTGGAACTCCGCGTTGATGATGGCGATATCGAATTAGTCGTCGACCTGGCAAAACTGATAGTCACACACACAAATACGATTATTACATATTAAGATTTATCCAAATTGTCTTTACTGAAAAATGAGACGCAACAAAAATAAAAGTGTCATTCTTGCTTATGATGTCACGATTCCAACATGGCCACCGCGACTACTCAGGAGCCTTAAAATGCAATTATGAACAGATCATTAAATATCATTTTCCTTATTAAATTGATAAACAATTTAATAATTTATGATGTTAATAAATATTTTTATAACATTATAAATCTGATATTAATAAGAATTTTAAATGTACCTAATTTATTGCGAAGAATTTTTTACAGATTACCTCAGCCGAGATTTAAAAAATCTTATGAGATTTCTATTATTTAATTAATCCTATAGCATTTCTCTTTAATTATATTTATTCTTATCGGTCTAAAGTAAAGAAAATAACTTTAATGGTAACGTTATAAATATCCCAGTCTTGTTATACAGGTATAAGATAATAATATTTGCGTATATCCTTGTGCAAAGCGTAAATTTTGATTTTAAAAATAAATCTAATTAAAAAAATGATTTACCAATCTTACAATGTAAATTTGTAATTTTTTTTCGACATTAGGTATTTCTTGAAATCTCAAAATATTTATCCATTAGAACATACACTATATACATTTATTAATTTTTTATCGGCGAGTTAAGAAAAAAGTATACGATATATCTCATAATTTCTAAACAGTTGATCAAGAATCATTGAAACATGTAAGAAGACATTTGAAAATGTTGATTTTTATCGATGTTTCTCTCGTATCATAGACCATTTCTCCACAACCTAGTATGGTGCAAAAATTTGGAAATATGAAAACTACCAATAGCGCTGTTGGTCTGGGTAGTTATGAGGGAAAATATACACCAAATAATTCTGTTCCTGACTTAACTCAAAGGTTAGGTAGTAAATTTTACATTAAATATAATTTAATGTAAAATTAATTACGTTAAATATATTTTTACATAATGATACTTTATAATTATGCTGTTAAACAAAATATTTTATAAAAAATGAAACTATGAAATAATTAAAAGAGAACGAAATTTTATTAGGAAACATCACATTTCTCCAATTTTGTACTTTTATTTTCACAATAGATTTGCTGGCCTATCTGTTAATACTACAATGAATGACGGCATGTTTTCAAGGACAGCGACACCCATGTATCATCCTGAACTATCACCTGCAATGTCACATACTTATATCAATCAATATGCTGGATCTGAATACCATCTGGACAGGATCCAAACACCACAGATGCCTTATATGCCTTTTGACGTCGATAGTTACGAAGATTATAATCACTCCATTTATCGTCACAATACTAGGTACAACATCACAAAATCGCTTCATATGAACGGATCTATGCTTTTAATTGTGGCGCCACAAGGTCGTTTGTGTGGCCTTATCTTTATTTTTGTTATATAATAAATTAAGAAGTTGAAATATTCAATTACTTTATTATGTAAGATCTTTAAATGCACATTTATTAAATACAGTTTTATTATTACACACTTATTGTATTATTAGAATATTAGTTGTTGAATTATTACATTGTTAGTGCTCTCAATATTGTCCGATATTTAATAACTTTTATAGTTATATGATAAATTTCCTAACTTTCCCCTGTTTTTTAATAGCGTTTTCGACCCGAGTAGGTTTGCACCAATTTGGGTTGGATAATGTTGTACTATTGATTGATGTTACACTTTCTATCAATAGGACAACGTTATTTATTCAACTCTGATGCAAACTCGCTCGGGCAGAATACAGTATAAATGTAAAGCATTTCTGTTAAATAATGCTAAATTATATTGTTAAAACTGATATGATTTTTTCATTCTATAATTAAACTAAAGAATATAAAAATTATTGGTTATCTTAAGCTCGTTAAAATATACTGTTTCAAGTTTTGATTTTTGGTTGTAGCTATAGTAGATGCTATTCGGAAAGATCGAGTTCTCGGAGTGAGCAGCAGCAGGACGAGTTGCCTTTGCCGCCTGGATGGTCAGTTGACTTCACACTCCGTGGTCGAAAGTACTACATTGATCATAACACCAAGACCACGCACTGGTCGCATCCACTCGAAAAAGAGGGTCTACCCACAGGATGGGAGAGAATTGAGTCTCCTGAGTACGGCGTTTATTACGTCAAGTGAGTGAACTTGGAAGAGGATTCTACAGGCCATCGATATATGTCACGACGAAAATATTTCGCCTTTCTTTCTCAGCCACATCACGCGCCAAGCTCAGTATGAACATCCGTGTTACCCGCATGAGATGCAAGCCGTGCGGGTCGTATCACCACCACGGCATACTCATTTTCACTCTCACAGTGTTTTGGTGCCAGCTAATCCATATCTGAACGAGGAAATACCGCACTGGCTGTACGTGTACAGCAGGGCCTCAATAGCTTTAGATCGTAAGCTGCGTTGGGAATTGTTTCGTTTGCCCGAGTTGGACTGCTTCAATGCTATGCTCACCAGGCTGTACAAGCAAGAACTGGAGGAAGTTGTAATGCGTTATGAGGAATACAGGTGAGAAGTAAAATTTGTGGAAACAATGACGATCTATATTATCTTCAATACATGTACAATCTTGTCTTTCATTTCATAATTTTTGCATCTATAGATCAGCATTATTATGCGAAATGGAACAAAGACTGAAAGAATTGAATCCAGAATCTGGTACTTCTAACGTTGGTGCTATTGCTTTACGAAGATCTCTTCCCTGAGAATAAAAGGGACAAAGGAAGGGAGAAAAAGAGGTAGAGGGGGGGAGGGGAGAGAGACTATACAATCAATTGTTATATATTGTTTCTCTCTTGACTGACTGAGGAAAAGTTCCTTAGAAGCTTTACAATAAAAAAATTACAATAAATGATTAATAACTCTGTATTTTACAAATATGTACATAATGTAAAACTTAACATTTACTTTTTTCATAATACACATTATTGTGCAATACTACACAAAAGAGATTTTTAAAAATAATAATTATTAATTGTGTTAACCAAATTTTACTAGTAATTTTCATTTTTCTCCTCTTTTTCTACCTCAGCAGTCTCGGGCTCGATATCAAAATGATCGGTGAGTGTCAGTCCCGTTACTTGATATACATGCATATTATGAGGTGTATCAGATAAAAGTCCATAAGCCCTTCCTGCGAAAAACAGATGTTCCATCATTCTCTTCAAGAAAATGTCAAAACGAAAAATCAAAAAATAGATTTACTTCGTTTTTCAGGGTCTTCCGGTAGTTTATCGTTCGCAATCGTGTAAAATAGAATGCCAAACAAATTCCATCCTACGAAAGCGTAAATTATCGAGAGTCTATTTCTTAGATTGTGAGCTTCATGCTTGGTTATTTTTTTTTTCATGAACCACCGTTCTAACCATTTTTTAATCATTTTTTAGATTTAGAATGATGCACGTACGTAAAAGTCATATAGTCTATATAAAAGAATAATGGTAAATATAAAGAACCCGCTCCTCTCAAATTTTGATAAAAAATACACTCAATCGACGCGTTTTTGTACGAAATGAATGAATCTAGCAGAAAAAGTGTCGCTCTGCCTCGCGAACTGAGCGTTAAAGCAGGTTAAAGTTGAGGATTATTCAGGTTAGAAAATCTGTCAGCCACGAAATACTACGCTACGAGTATATGCTGCGATTTATATTTTCATGTTCTATGGTCATATGCGCATGCGTTTTAGGTATACAAAAAAATCAGTGCTTTAAAAATACAAAAATACTATTTCAAAAACACAAAGGCCCGTATTCAGTGTGGCAAATTTAAAGGGAAATTTAAAGGATATAAGGATGTAAGAATTAGACGGGTGGTCATTAATAAATATTGTACCAAAATATAAGGAATGATTAACGTATTACACTGTAAAAAATAAAATGTTAATTTTAACTCAAAGGCAAATAGTGGATTTTCTGAGACATGCAATACGCTCGAGACCACGCTGCGTTCTTATAAAGCAATATAGCTCCATTTTGTAGAAGTTACAATTAATTTTTTTAACGATTCAATTGCCAAAGAGCTTCTATCAGCTTCTATTGGTGCTATCTTTGTTGTTCCTAACTGTCGCTTTGCCACACGGCGTCGCCAGTGTCGCCACAGATCTTGACTACCAACGTGAAGTTGGCGTTAGCAGTCCATGTCACAGTTCCATGTGTTTATAGTCAAAGGCATCTATAGCCTCGTGCACGTCAGTGCACGTACGGATTACGGAACCGCACTAATCGCAGTATACTCGGGTATACTGCGGTAGACAGAATGGCGGTTGGTTCAACGAAGGTGGTTCAGGTGACAAACATCGCGCCCCAGGCAACTAAGGACCAAATGCAGACGCTTTTCGGATATCTAGGCAAAATCGAGGATATCAGATTATATCCAACGATTAGGGATGTCGCCGTACCAGTGCAGTCACGGATATGCTACATCAAGTTTCATGATCAGGGCTGCGTTGCTGTGGCACAGCACATGACCAATACTGTTTTTATTGATCGTGCATTGATAGTAATCCCATATCAAAATGGAGATATTCCGGATGAGCAGCGTGCCTTGGAGTTAACCAACAATGGCACAGTTGTACCAGGTAAGAATATGGTACAGACTCGTGCTGCGTTCCAAAACGTTCTCTCCCAGGAAGATTTTACCCTATATGCTATAGTATTTGTGTACTATATATCTCAAGTAAAATTTTCTTCGAGAGGATATTTTGGAATGTACTCTAGGTCTATAATAGATATAATAAATGCTTAGATTTAATCCATAATAAATATAAGCTTTTATTATTTTTTTGTTCTAATTGTAAATACTAAACTGCGATTCTATATTATAATTTTATTATATTAATATCTATTTATTTCATTATCCTATTTAAATAGATAGATGTAGAATAAAGATTTTAATTTAATACCTATATATTATTTTATTTTAATTTTATTAATATTATTTTGTTTATGCTATTACGCTGAAATATACAGATAAAATATACAATCGGCTACATATAAGCTTTTATATTGTAAAAACTACTAAATTTAAGGTGATATATATATATATATATATCTCGTCTTCTTCTCCCTAAAGAAGTTAGTCATAGTTTAAGTAAGACTTACAGACAATTTACGTGCTATTGCATGAACATAGTCATAGTGCCATAGAATCTTAGGATGATGTCCAATGAACTAAAATTTGCAGCAGAATAGAACACCATGATTAATCACATCTCTGCAATTATTATTTTGTTTTCTTTTCTGCGGTTTAATTAGTCTGGTTGTTCTGTTAAATTTTTTTGTTTATAGGACATCAGCCTTATGCTATTTTATGTCAGAGTCTTATGTTACTTCACGTATAGTCATTCCTAAGATATAACATAAAGCAACACACAAAGAGAAACAAGCACAAATTTTTTACTTCTCTGTAAGTTATGTTCTTTTTTGTGTGGGTCTTTAAATTTACACCTTGTATGCAGATTTAAAAGAGAAAACTTTCTTTTTCTTAATTTCCACAAAACATTTTATCCTTTTTTAATATAAATCTCATTTTTAAATTCTTTCAGGCCTCTATCCATCAGAACCAAAGTTGCCACCGAACGTTGTGAATGCTATTGAGGGTATTCCTCCAAATCATGTGATTACTACGATGGATCCCAAGCTAGAGGCGAATAGCCTGCCATCCTATCCGCATCTACCGGGTCATCTAGACAGCAGACGTATCGAAGAGATTCGTCGGACACTTGTAGTGGCAAATTTGGATACATCGGTGAGCCCCGAGCAACTGCTGGATTTCTTCAGCAACAACAATATAGAGATCAAGTATCTGCGTATGTGCAGTAGGGACTCAGACGTTGAGCATTATGCGCTGGTGGAGCTATCTGAACAGGCCACTGTGATTGCTGCGTTGCTGTTGAATGGAAAGCAGCTGGCAGACCGATCGATCAAATTGTACCACTCGATGCAGGCAATCGCTAAACCAGAGGCAAAGAGCAACGAGGCTGCACAGAAGGAAATTGAAGAAGCAATGTCGCGGGTAAAGGAAGCACACAATCTCATCTCCGCGGCAATTGATCCGATGATCGGGATGCTCTCCAAGGATAAGCGAAGCAGAAGTGGCTCACGCAGCCGTAAGTCTCGTTCGCGATCCCGCGGACGTAGTCGACGCTCGAGATCACGTAAGCGTTCGCGATCACGACATCGACGCTCGCGATCTCGTCATCGACGTCGATCGCGCTCCCGCTCCAAACGGTCTCGATCGAAGGATCGCAGGCGCAACTCTCCATCGAGACGACGCAGCAACTCACGTAGTCGTCACCGTTCGCGTAGCAGATCAAGGAGATCAAGGTATAGACTATAGCTAAACAGTCTTCTGTCTTGGTCAATTTTCAGAGTTGTATACATATATTGAATTCTGCTTATATATTTAACTTATCAATTCTAGAAAAATATAAATCATATTTAAAAAAATATTTCAGTATGACAAAAAAGAATTCAAGATACGAATAAAAACTCCATCTTTAAAGTATTCTTAGATGACCTAAAAAAGCAGTGCTTCGTTCAAAACAATTGGTCAAGAGAATCTTTAAAGAGATTAGTATATTTTTAATACATATGTATATGAATACATGTATTAACTATTTATCTTTGTTAAAGGTCACGTCGATCACCATCTAGGTCGAAAGAGCGGAAGAAAAGATCACCACGTCGACGCAGTCGTTCACGTTCACGAAGCAAGGGTTCTACATCCAGATCTAGGCGGTCACGTTCAAAATCCAAGTCCAGATCGTCCAAATCTAAATATTCCTTGGACAAGACTAAAGATAAAGATCGAGAAAGGCGCAGCAAGGATAAATCAGACAACGGTAAGAGAAGCGATAGCGATCGAGAGAGGCCCGAGAAGGAGAGCAGTAGAAGCGAAAAGAAATCTAGTAAGGAAAAACGATTGAGCGACAAATCTGATTCTAAACAATCGGACGACAAAAGTAGATCCGCATTGGAGAATAACGACAGCAAGGAGAAAGCAATGGATTCAGAAAATTAGACAACAGCTCCATTTATTACTGATATATTTTCTAAGTATCGTGAAATTCAACAAACTACCTGTCTTTATCGCTAATGTATTGATATAACAAATATATGGATACAGCATTTTTCGAAGGAACAATTCGTATGTATTGATGATCGAAATGTATTACAGATTCAGTTAATTTTTACAAACGGATTTTTTTCATCTTTTTTGGAATCGGCGGCTTGATCTCTTCCTTATCCTCTTCTTCCTTTTCGTTGCACATTTCTATTTTAAACGTATTCTTAGATGACCTAAAAAAGTAATGCTTCGTTCAAAACAATTGGCCAAGAGAATCTTTAATCGTTTATACATATTAGGGTAGTATCGCTATGTTTGTCTTAGCGCCGAGACACTACTGTGTTTCCTGATATTAAACTTATTTTGTTTGTGAAGAAAATGAGGAAATATGAACGGTAACAATAAACTAAATAAAAAAAGAATTATTAAACAGGATCATATATTTCGATATATGTTTGTAATCGATTATAGAAATTCAACGTGCCCTTGTTAATTTAACATGTTTTATATTACGTATATCATCAATGCTATACGTTAAAATACGTCCAGCCTATCGAACTGAACCTTGTGCTGCGAGTATATCGGTAAACATTTGTTATGTATCTTGGTAAAAAACAATGAAAGCTAACCGAAATACTCGCAGCTAAAGTTTCGGTTCAAAAGTCTGGACCTACTTTTCATTCAGAAATTCTTCATTCAGGCTGCATATTTTACAAAGAGTATATGATATGATGCTTACTTTATATATGTACATGGCTGTTCTGTACGCGGGGATAGCTCGACAAGAAACATATTAACTGATTTGATTTACTACAATATATTAACAGTATTTCGCACTTTTGCTCAAGATTATGTGTATAAAAATAGATAAGCAATTAAATAAAAATATGATAACATAAATTACTATAAATTACGGTTAAAATGTATTCCCTTCAAAAATAATTTATAATTATTGCTTATAGGATTTGTTTAAGCAAACGATATACCTTGCAGTATCATCCTGGTTTTTGTAAGTAGTCACATCGTGATATATTTCCATCTTCATGGGAACTGGCGCACGGAAAAGTGATTTTTGTGCGTTTTTTATGGTTGATCGTCTCTTCAATACCATCTGCAATCGATATTTTTTTATTAATTTGTCAATTCTTTTGTATGTACAAGATCCTTTATTAAATTTAAACAAAAGTATGTAGCGCTACTTTAGTTGCATTATGCCATCGTAACATCAGGGTATCGATCATGTAACTTTTCCTAGGGCGAAAACGTGAACATTTTTTTGTATGTGTGTACATGTATATACATACATTCATAAAAGTTTTCACGTTTCCGCTCTAGAGAAAAGGTTACATGATTGATATCCAGAGAAATGATATATTAATTTTTATTACCATTTAGTATCATTTGTATATAAAGACAATTTGGATAAAATAAAATGATAAGATCGTTTTAAAACAAATGTAAATAATAATAAACAAAAACTATTCTTATTCCTCTTAACAGTCAGCAAATAATTATAAAAAAGGCACGTGAAGTGCTTTTATTCAATGCGTATGCCTAGCCTATTTTTACACAGCTTTTTATCACTTTTTACGATTGTTTATTTACTGTTAGGGGGAATAAAGATCCCAGGTAGTAAGCTGTAATTATTTTGACATCAATAGTTCATCATTGTTAATTATTGACGTCATGTAATTTATTTAAGATATAATAGTGATAACGTCATTGGGTGTATCCAGAAGCGACGATCGCTCACTAAGCGCTCACACCTTCACGGCCTTAAAAAAATAATAAACACTAATAAGGAAGGAATATAATATTAAAGATTATCTATAACGAATAAGATATTCTACATTACCAATATTATAATAAATAAACATATTAATTCCTTTCTTGCTCAGTGAGCGATCATTGCTCCTTGTGGTTGCACTTATTTATTTATGACATATTTACAACGTATTTACAACGTTATACTTATTGACGTCAGATAAATGATTAGTTGACAACGTACTAATAATGTTATTAGTGATGACATGAAAATAATGACGTATTTTTTTTACATCAATTTATATGATTTTATACGAATGTGACAAATCCACGTTGTTTTTACGATAATAGAACGTCAGATGTGTTAAGAATGATTAATTAGTTACGTCAAATAAATGATATCTTGCTACTTTGGACAGTTTTCGTCTATTTTTAGAATTGTTTTAAAGCGATTTTATTTCGTTTTATCCAAATTGTCTTTATTTACAAGTGACACGTAACAAAAATTAACGTGTTATTTCTAACGAGAAATCTGACATCACTATTCAGTATGATTGTGGTGACTACTCAGAGTTTTAGGAATCTGCTTTTTACTGCGATATACGTGGCGTGATTATTTTTAACAAATTTATGAGCAGTCAAAGGCAAAATATTTGTTTTGTTTTTAATCCGTGATAACTCAAACAAAATACTTTAGAACATTTGTGAAAAATAATTTTGTATGGAAAACTGAGCTTTCATATATGTTAGAAAGTAAAAAAATTTCGCATTTTTTTTAGCACATAACAGAGCTACAAAGAAGAAAATTTTCCAGCTCGTAGTCTTCTATATATAAAAATTATTGAATTCATAGAAACTTAAAAGATATACCTTTTAAAAGTAAAGATTTAAAGGAAAAAAAGAATTTTAAATTTTATTTCTATAATATCCCTCACCATGCTCGTGTTTCTGTTTTGTGAAAAGGGCGAAGTCATTTCTATCATGTCATTCATATGTATCTTTCTACGTAGCATGTCGTCCATTTGACAGCTTCCTATCAATTAAAACAAACATTAAAAATGTCCTAGAAGTGAAATGTTTTTTTAACGCTCCTATAGAAGTTATATTATAAGATATAATTTTTTTTACTTACGCATTATACATTCGTCGTACTGGCCGAGGGGGTCTATTTGTAAAAACGTAGATAGCGTATTAGGATAACGCAAGTCCATATATATCATGATAATCGCCAAAAGAACGCAAAGTAATCCTAAAAAGATACATTGAAGATAACGCTGATGTTAAATATTATTGAATATTATCAATATATTGTTACTGATACTGAAACCGGTAGAGGTCTAGAAATATTCTTGAAACCGAGCTGATCAACCGTTCACCCCGTAAGTAAGTAAATTTTCTTTATTTCATCTTTAATCCAGCTCAAGAGATCATCTATTTTAATTAACAAAACGCGGGTAACAAACCAGACTTTTCCGACGATCTTCTTCATCCACGAGTTACTTAAACAGTAAATCACTTCAAGTGATTCATGGTTCTAACATCCACAGATTCCCCAAGTTCGAAACTGCTTTTCGCAGTAATTAAAGAGATAATTTTACATTATGAATCTGATTAATTTAAATAACAATTAATTACCGCATCCTAACGTCATCCAGAAATGCAAGCCCAACGTCATTCTAATGTCACCGTCATTAAAAGGAATCACAAGTGGAATTGGATTGTGTATGCATATCCAGACGAGACAAGTTAACAATTGTAAACCACCGATCAATCCAGTCAAATAGGCAGTATATCGACTCACTGACTGCAAGAATATGTTAGCAAGTATCCAGCAAGCAAAGGCGGTCCTGCGAATCAAAATTAAAAAGTTCAGAATTTTTACATACATATAACAAACATATTTATTATAAGAAAGTTATAAGTGTTATTTTTTTTACAGATTCAAGATTATTCCTCAGAAGATTTTTCGGAGGACTGTGATTAGGTCTTTCATGACTAATTGTATTCTATTGGATGATCAAAAAGTCGTTTTTGCGTATATTAAATATAAAATATAACAAAGAAGCAACAAAATCACAACAAGATTACAAATGTGTAAAAAAAACTTAAAATTGGTATTTTAAGTTTTTTTTACACATTTGTAATATTGTTGTGATATAAAGGAAATGTAGAAGTAATTTTTAACCATCAGAAGGTCGTAACGCAGGTTGCCGCGTATCTCAGAGATACAATCTTTAGGAGGTATTACAGGGTTATTCTTTGCTGTATATATAGACGATTAGAATCTTGATGACACTCATACAACAGCTATTGTTTATCTAATAGGTTTATCTAATAGATTATAGTGTACGTCGCTACTTATAAAGATATTTAAAAATACGTTTTGTATGTATTTCTCAGATATACCACGATCTCTCGAGGGTTAAAAATTAATAACAACCATCTTATAATTTTGAATTATATCAGTGATCTAACCATACGAATAACGAATACAAATTATTACTATCTTCTGCATTTTTTTGTCTTCTATACTAACCACAACAAGATGTGACAATACCATCCAGCGGTTCGATAAAATCTCCCAAATCGAATGCCTTCCCCATCAATAATGAAATATTCAGCGATCCATAAGATAGGAATGGGCAAACCTCGTCGTTGGCCTTCACGGAAAGTTCTTTGCAACAGTCCAGCTACAGGATCATAAAGGGAAAAGTATTTGGTACTTTTATTACTTGAAACAATTATAAATTTATAGTTGACTCAAAAAATTATTATAAATTATAGTACTTGCAATCATCTTTTTCTTTCAATAAAGATCATTGACATAATTTAAACGCTTTAATAAAGCGTAATATTAATTCATAGTGATTCACCATAGGGTCCAAAACCGATTCTGCCTTGGTCCCACATCCAGGAAAATCTCTCGTTATAATCGATTATTTCTTCTTTAAGTGGTGTGTCTTCTTCTGATTTGGCTAGAAAAGAAATTCTTTAGTATACGATAAAAAATCTTTTCAAGTCTTCAAGTTTTTACTTATATTGCAAAATCGAATTGTAAAAAATGAGCGAATTAAAATAAAACCTTCATTCTTATTTTACAGAATCATAGATCGTATCTATCTTTGACAGAAAATTGTTTTAAACGAAAAAGAAATTATTGTAAGGAATATAAGAAATATGTATAATGTTATTGCGTATGGTATGTATAATATCAATATGACACAAACGCTGCGTTCCACTTAACATTTGCAAAACGTTTACGAGCATCATTTTTCCTTGTTTGACATTTGATAAACAACAAGGATGAAATAATATTATAGCTTATTATTATAAAATATGTAAACTATATACTTTTTCGAAATTTAATTTTCTAAAAGTATTACTTTAAATGAAGTGTTATTTTTCACTGTTATCTTTAAAAGTTTCATAACTAATTCAAACCTCAAAGGTTTATTAAATATAATACTTTTGAAATAGATTAAACTTTTTTATATGGATATTATGATAAAATATTAAAAATTTCTTAAAATCAGTTTTTTAATTAACTTCTTATTCGTCTATCTTTCACAGGACATATATATACTGATTTATTCAATATTTACATCCAATGAGTTTTTGTATTATAGATATATACATTACAATATATATACATATGTATATATACACACACAAATACATATATATATATTCATTCAGATACAATATCCCATTCACTTAAATTACCTTTTAGTGTGATATTCACTGATCTTAGACCTATCTTCACTGCTATGTGAGCATCGATCTTCTGACCTACGTTGACTCGATAAGGCGTTTTACTCCTTGTACTACCGTATTCCCATTCTTGACCGAAGTTTTCTACTGCAAATTAATATTCGATGTACAAATGAATTTTAAAATATACATATATGATAACATAGAACAAGTACAGAAAAAATTTATTTTAAAATATTTACTCATTAACAAACATCCAATGATGATACTGAAGACAACTTTTGTAGTTATGTAGATGCTCTGTGCAAAATGTGGAAATTATTTCATTAGCATAAGACAAAATACTTGGTACAAAAAGTTATTTATGAGAAATTCAATATATAATATGAATAAAACAAGTTGAGGGATCAAAAAGTCATTTAGTTATTTAATAGACAGCACACATATATACACAATATTTATATAATATTTACAAATAAAATATTTATAAATATGTTTATAAGACATATTCTCGGACTTATTTTAAATATCTTTGTAATATATATATTTGGTTTTAGATTGCACATATTATAAAAATTCATTATAAATATTATGAAACATTTACAGTAAATGTTACGAAAATACTAATAATAAAACATTAGAATTCAAGTAAAAAAATATTTACTAGAGAGAGATATTTATCATAAATATATTACAATGTATAAAATATTTAGTTTTTTTAATAATATTCCGAATAAAGTTTTATATAAAATATGTATAAAATATTTATATAACATTTAAAAAAAGATTAATAATAAATATGTATTATTTAGCATAAATATGCTATACATTAGTAGAGCAAGGTATTATTTTGAATTGGAGTTTTTACTGTGTTTTTACTTACTTGCCTCTTTTGATAACTTGGTATGATGCTAATGTAGGCGATTGAGATGATGACGGAAATAGTAATTAGTACAGTTTCGGTTACATCTACTGTCACCGAAGTATGTTGCGCAGAGTATTGCGAGGGAAAACCCTCGGATCGTCCAAATTGAAACCCCATAAATGTACCTTCTTTTTACCGACGTGAATAATAATATAAGATAATAATATTTTCTTAGGTTCAGAAAAAATCGCGGTAAGGACGCGTTTCTGATTCAGATCAACCAACAGACTAGTATTCGAATGACAAATCTTATGATATTGCGGTTTTATCTGATTTCCTTTTCCGGTTGTTTTTGTGCTGATGACTGCGGAGGACTAAAGGTTTAGCTTTATCGTTAAACTTCGCCGCATAGTCACGCAAATCGCTATTCCAATGCTATTATAATGATCTATAGGGAATAGAAGTATAATAACGATATATATTTAACGTTTATAGATATAATATATAACTTTTTTCTTTTTAAGAGAATAAAAAAGGTGTATATAAAAAAAGTCGAGAAGGGCTCCTTTTTCTCTTCGTTCGTAAGTATTGCAAACTGTATAAGAAAATAAACAAAATGTTAAAATTAGTAATTATACAATAAGAAGAGCTAGGAGAGCCAAAAACAATTTAGTTTAATTAAATAATAGACTATTTACATATAGACGTTTCGACACGAATTAGGTCATTATTTAATACAATTAAAAAAAATCGGTAAATCTTAAAAGTATACAATAAAACTTTATGCGCAGTTTTATATGATGTTGCATCGTTATAATATTATAAAATCCATAGTCCTATTGACGAAAATTGATACAGAGCCGAATATAATTCTGAAATCTGATAATAAATATTGAACAATAATAAGTTAATGAAAATTTAACACATTCGCGCAATACGTTATCAATCATATAGTAGTTTACAAATCAATAATTATTAATTTACAAATATAAATATGATCAATATATTCTATCAATAAATAAATATATTAAATATATATACAGAGTATCCTATTTTAAATAATACATTAAAATTTCTCGAAAACTATGGTAGATACGGAAAAATGTTTCGCAAACAAAAGTTATATGGTTCAAAAAGTCGATTGTATATTTCGAAATCTATAGGGTTAATTGACTCTACCCGATTTCGGGTCTGGTTAGAGTATACCTAACTACTTGACTTCAATCACAAATTCGATTTGATTCGATTTGAAAGCAGTCATCGATTTCTTTGCTCTAATTGGTTAAAAAGTAATCATCAATCACACAATTGCGCAATCGCTAGTGTGATTACGGCTTCCTGTGACTTCAGCCTGAGATTGAAATTTGATTAATGAGAATAAAAGAAGTTTAGCTTCTATTATTTTGATTGGTCATATTTCAATCTTTCAATTTTCAATCTCAATCTTCAATGCGTAGTCTAAGCCGAAATCAGACTACGCATTGAAAATTGAGATTGAAGATTGAATTTTGGCTAATCAAAATAATAGGAGCTAAAACTTCTTTATCCTCATTGGTCAAATTTAAATTTTCGATCTTCAATCTCAATTTTCAATGCGTAGTCTGATTCCGGCCTAAGGCCGGTATTCATAGTTGGTTCTTACTTTAAGACTGCCTTAAATAGCTGCGTTCGGCAATGCAAATCTGGAGGCGTCGGAGTGCTCTTTTTCTATAGTGCACGTGACATATGCTATAATATAAGAGCTCTCCGACGCCTCAGATTTGTCATTACCGAACGGAGCTAACGATGTCTTAAGATGCTAATGCGGCCCTTCTGATTGGTTTATATAACATCTCAAGACTGAACTTAAGATGTTCTTTAAGAACTGACTATGAATATATATCGGCCTAAGTCTAGCCTAACAAAATCTTGTAATGTAATTAAAATATGTAAATTACGTAATAAATTGTTCCAAATCAATATGTAATTTTTTAAAATCACATAATTAGAGATGTCACACAATGATGTTTTTTTTTCTATTTCTATTATTTAATTATTTAAAATTTGATAACTTCTATAAAATCGTATGATAAAAATAAAATTATTTCTAATATCGTGTGATTTTTCACGGATTACATGGTTTTAAAAAATCACGTACTAAAATGTAAAACAATCCGTTATGTGATTTACTTATTTTAATTACGTGATTTTGTTATACAATTTTGTGACGTGATTTTTTTCAGTAGGAACATGTTGTCAAACGTGTTCTAAGTTAGAACTTCAACCTTTAGCTCGCTATAAACAATTTGCGCAGGTGCGAAACTCCCGTTATTCGCAGGCATCACGTTCTTATAAAAAGGGGCCAGTAGTGCTCCATCTATTGACACTATGTCTATGATTTGAACGGTTTGTGACAGAACGATAACTAAAGCACATTTGCAATTATATTAAACGAAAAAGTAACAACATAAATAAAGAAAATATTATATATTATTTTTTTTATATCTGCTAAAATCTTAAGGTAATTTTAAGTTTTCATTTATTTTCAAACTGTTTCTGAATAATTTTTCATTTTTATATTACAAAGATATTAAATATATATACATATATATATATATGTGTGTGTTCTTAAGTTTATTAAGTTAACTGTAATATATATAATCATTAATTTAATGTTACGTTAATCGGTACTTATTAATATTAAGTTAATTGTTGAAAAAAACTTTAAAGAATTTAATATTTTGTTTAACAATTCCTTCCAATATAATTAAGAACATGGAATTTTTGTAAACATACTTGTTTAATATTTTTTTTTAATATTGTGATTAATGACATTATATTATAAGAAATTCTTTTTATGACTATTTAAAGGATTTAGATCATTAAAAGTTAATTAATTCTTTTATAGAGAAACATGACTACGAAATCATCAAAGGAATTTTCTTTGAGATGGAACGACTTTGGTAACAACTTGACTTCAGGCTTTTTTTCTCATTTGAATGAGAACAATTTGGTTGACGTAACAATTGCTGTGGAAGGACAGTTATTAGCTGCTCATAAATTAGTTTTGTCTGTATGCAGTCCTTATTTCAATAATATATTCAAGGTATGATTTTATTATTAACAATGTTCTGTAAAAATAAAATTATACTTTAACAACTCAAGTTGTTCTATAGGAAAATCCTTGTCAACATCCAGTAATAATACTAAAAGATGTAAAGCATACAGAAGTAATATCTCTGCTGAAGTTCATGTATCAAGGAGAAGTGAATATAAAACAGGACGACCTATCTACTTTTCTGAAAGTTGCACAGATGCTGCAAATAAAAGGATTAGAAGGTGGCGAGTTAAATGATTATGTCAATGTGTGGGATCCAAATGATTTGAAGGATGTAACCGCTGTATCTGATGTCCTAAGCGAGCAAGAAGACAGGAGCAAAGTTCAAGATGGATCAGTAAACTCTCATAGGATAGCCAATAAGAACGCTAAAACGAGAAAGAAACAGGTAGCCGAGGATAACTGTAAATCGATCAAAAAGTTGAAAAATGAGTCAAATGTTGATAGCAAGGATGACATCTGTATCTTGTCAGATAATGATGAAAAATCACATAATACAAAAGATGATTCTAATTGTGAAAAGGATATCAGATATAACAAGACTAATAAGGTTATTCACAATAGTGAAAAAATAATTGAAGTGTCTAACGAACAAAATTTGGAAGGAACATCGTTATTACAGTCAGGTATTTTATTGTATTCATAAAAAAGATTTTAATTTACTGATTGTGATATTTTATATTAATCTTTGATTGATGTGAAATAAAACTTGATTAAAAAAAAAGTTGATATAAATTTGCAGTTGTGGAACCAGTAATCTACAGACTATCTGCCAGAGGTAGACCACAATTGGTCCATGAAGGATACGTATACAACATGACCTCTCGTTCTAAAGTGTATAATAGTTCACACTATCGTTGTGCGGAGCAGCATCGTGGTTGCCGCGGTAAATGCTCTGTGATCGCTGAAAGATTCATGCCGACGGGGGTGCACGAACACAATCATCCACCAAGTTATCAATCGGAATACAATTATCGAAAAAAAAAGAGTCTATAGACACTGATATTGGAGAAAGACTATTCCAATGATGCATTTAAAGATATTTAAATCAAGATATGTTTTGTCTTCGTCTGTGTGCTTGCGCGCGCGCGTATGTATGTGTGTGTGTGTGCGCGCGCGCGTATGTGCGTGCTATATTTGATTGTGCATACACACACACGTCGATAATTCGGTTATTAAGATAGAAAATACGCTTAATCGGAAAGAGACAAATTGTACGTGTTTTTTATATATGCAACTCTTGTATATTATATGTATACAGGATGTTTGCTAAAAGATTTAAAAGAAATTCTTCATACATCAAGACGAAATCTTCATATCAACATATCCAAAATAACTCAGTTTCAAAGATACAGATTGCGTCAAAGTTAATAGAAAAATTTTTTTCTACAAATTTCGGAAACTACTCCGATTATAACTAATACGAATACGAAACCTATAACAGTCTAGCTTGGATCTTAGTTACTTATACTCCGATTATTTTGATAAAGTTATGTATGTTTTTTTTTAAGTTTCATTAAAATAATTCAAGTAGTTACCGAAATTTTTTAAAAAAGAAATTTTCTGGTTCGACTCTACCAGTCCAGATCTCTTTCGCAATAAATTACGATTTTTAGTAGATACATTAACATGGCTCTAAACGATGATGAAGCATTAAAATTATTAAATTGTTAATTTAGTTTATCATATTGCTACAGTAATCCTGTTCCATTCACAAGTTCAAAAATTTTATTCGGCATGTAGTTTAAACATGGTGACTTCACATGTGATATATAGATTCAATATAAATAATTTATATATATAAGCATCTATGTTTCATCAAATAAATTAGGTAATTATTCAGATTAAGTGACATCGCGCAGATGACCTTGACATATGTTGTCAATGTCATGATTCTGAGTAACTTTGCCTTGACAATTACATGGCGGTCTTTTATATAGTTTCTGAAATACTTAATTTAAAATTTATGCATAATAGTATATCTTTCCGATATATATATAAATATCTAGGAAAGGGGAGCCATCTCCAACGACCTTGATATATGTTGATTCTGAATAACCTCTACCCAAAGTTATTTAAATTATTTAAATTACGAAATACATAAAGCTTTCAATTATAAGCTTTCAATTTTAAGTACGTAATATTTTCATGTACACCGCTGAAATATAAAATATAAAATCTACTTTTATTGTGGAAACTGTATTTTAAATAAAAATATTTCAAATACATGTTCAGCCCTACCTCTACCCCATCTCCCTGTAAACATCTGTATATATCTTGTTTATAATTAATAAAAAAAACGGCATTTGTTATTTTTATCTCCAAAAAGGCACTTTTGTGTGTGTGTATGTGTGTGTGTGTGTGTACGCGCGCGCGTGTGTGGTTTATCAATTTATTATTCAAATTCTCATACATACAAAGATTTAAAAAATTGAGCATTGTATTATCGCTATAATTACAAAAAGGATCATTTACATTAGCATAAATAATAAAGTTAGATAAAAATTAACGAATCGAGATACTTCTTATCCAGGAGTTTTATTATATGAACGCGACGGAAGTATGATATTTATTAATACATCAATATATTATAAGACTGATGGAAAAATTAATGGAAAGCATGGAATTCTTCGTTCTTACTATTAGCAGTTATAACTTACAATTTTAGTGTGCTACAATTGCTTCACTGAACTGATCTTATCATTATTCCGTTCATTTATTGCATTATTCAACTTTAAACAACTTTAGGATTTTCTTTATTTTTCTACATTGATGACTTTTCAAATGAATATGTATAATTATGTTTGACTTTCCAATAATAATTTAGTATTGCCTTCAACTTTTTATATAGGAATGAATTTACAAATATTATTAAATAAGAAGTGTTTCGATACTTACAGAATCAAGTGTTTAAAATGTGAAGAGGCAAAGGCGAAATCTATCTCCCAATTTGTGATTTTCCTCTTAGTACCATGAAACTATTTCCCTGTTTCGTACATAATTGTAAAAACCTCCAAAATCTTACTGCTCCCACCGCACACATACACGCGCAGGTACGCACACATGCGCACACGCACGCACATACACATATACACACACACACATACATTCTCATTTAATATTTATCCTATATAAATGTCAAACCACTACACAGTTCAATGTTCATGTATGTGTGAAGAAAAAATCTTAAATTTTTTACACTTTTGTTTCTTCTTAGTTTTCTGAACTTATTACCATACCCTTAGTTAAATCAATTGTAATTTAATAGAATTTTCGTATTGTACAGCAATGAGGAATTTTCATTGGTATCGCTTTGCGATTTTCCTTTCTAACTTGCGCAGTTTCTTCTCATTCATCTCAGATTGCTGGTCTTCTTGAGCATAGACCCATGGAGCCATAATTTGATTCCAAAGCACAGTGGTCCCTCTCAATGGCACCTATAAATTTCCAAAATACTCAATAATAAGGGTTCCACATATATCCGGTTTTTTGTGACATTGAATAAGGAAAGTATTATGTAAATGATTTGTCGAAGTGCTTACCAAAAGCCACAAGAACCAGAAGTAGTTCGAAATAAGGGACAGGATTTGCACTCCTGATGTAAATATGATTAAATCTTTGATGTGTCTGTAAATAAAATTATAATACTTCATTCAATATGAACAATAAGATCTAGATAACACTGGATATTTCAAGGATGTACATTTTAAATCTAATTCACGTCTGTACGTCTATGAACATAAAAAGAACATTCATGGAATGTTCGTTATTAGAATTAAAACATATATTTTATTCAAAATATGTATCTTATGGATGTTTAGTTTACGTCTGTATTTAAATCTTACTTTTTTATAATTCTTTATTATTATTTTTATTATATATTACAACAATTATATAATATATACATGAAAAATACAATGATTTATTTTAGATCCAAAATTAGATACATTTCAGACATTCTATGGACATACAAAGTTGTAACAAATACAATATATATA